GCCGCCAGGACTCCAGGGCCCAGGTCATGTGGGTCACGGCCGCCTTTGCTTCCCTGCACCTTGCATGGGGCTGTCACCTGGCCTCAGGGAGCCTGAGTGGCCTTGCCAATGGAGTGTGGCTCGTGGTGCCTGGCTCACCAGGGCAATGGAGAGGCTCGGGGAGCATCCACACACACACCCGCTGAGTGTGCGTTCTCCTCTTCATTCCCCATGGGCACAGTGCCCACGTGTACTGGATGCAGGTAGAGATACAGAGGAGGAAAGGGAGCAGAGTACTGGGAGACACTGGCTGGCCAATAGCCCAGGGTGACAAGAGTGGGCTGTGCAAGGGGGCCTGCCTAGAGACAGGGGCCAAGACTGAGTGAAAGGCCCGGAGCCCCTGCCGAGTGTCTTGGAATTTATCTCACACAAAGGGGAACCAGCAAGGTTTTTAAAGGAGGAAACAGACACTATTGGGATTGTTGTTGTCATTGTTTTTTTTATTTGTTTGTTTTTGTTTTGAATGAAACTTTTTTTGAGTTTTGCTCTTATTGCCCAGGCTGGAGTACAACGGCCAATCTTGGCTCACGGCAACCTCCACCTCCTGGGTTCAAGCTATTCTCCTGCCTCAGCTTCCCGAGTAGCTGGGATTACAGGCATGCACCACCACGCCTGGCTAATTTTGTATTTTTAATAGCGATGGCGTTTCTCCATGTTGGTCAGGCTGGTCTTGAACTCCCGACCTCAGGTGATCCACCCGCCTTGGCCTCCCAAAGTGCTGGGATTACAGGCATGAGTCACCGCGCCTGGCCTGTTGTCATTGTTTTAGGAAAATTGACTCTGAAAGTAACATAAAGTAAACTCTGACGAACATGGGGAGGTAGAGGCATGGGCAGGAGAATCTGTGGGAGTTGGATGCAACCAGCGGGGCTGGCAGGGGACCTGGGTCTGAGCTGGGCAGTGGAGTGTGTCCAGAGGGGACTGGCTGGGTCTAGAGCCCGCTGGAAAGTGGAATGGACAGACCTTGGGGATAGGTTGGATGCTGAGAACTCATAAATGACTTGGAGGTGTCTAGCTTGGGTAACTGGGTGCATGACGGCTCTAAAAGCTGAGGTGGGGAAGAGAGGAGGAGGTCTGGGGTGAGGAGGAGACAGATCACGCATTCAAATGACTCGATAACTGTAATATGTACACACACCCACAGAAGACTGCCTTCAGCTGTAAAAAATCAAGTGATCTGGAGCACAAACCCACTTTTCTGACTCCTGTAGGGACTTTAGTCACAAACAAGGGGTTTTAAGTGACCCATCGACAGATAGGTTCTCAGAGGAGCTGTACTTATCGTTCCAGAGGCAGCTTGTGGTTCTGGGGGCTGCTAAACAGAGAGTAGGTTTCACAGTTAACTCAGATTCAACGTATTCCTACCCCTGAGGACCCCAGGAAACCTGAGAGAGGCTGGACTGTGTACCCATGAAGAGGTTAGGTTCAAATCTTGGGTCTGCTACTCACCAGCTAAGACCTTAGGCAAGTCGTATGACCTGAGTGTCTGTTCCTTTGTTTATCAATTGGGCCTCATTATGGCACTTTGTGAGGCCGTCATGTCCAGACACATAACACAGGGCCTGGCATATTATAAACAATAAATAATTAGCAGCTGTTGTGGCTCTTGTTATTTTTTAGAGAGGGAGTCTCACTCTGTTGCCCAGGCTGGAGTGTAGTAGCTATTTATAGACACAGTCATAGCACACTATAGCCTCAAACTCTTGGGCTTTAGTGATCCTCCTGTCTCAACCTCTCAAGTAGCCGGGAGGACAGGTATGTGCCACCACGCCCAGCTGTTGTTGTTATTATTGGCAGCTATCCTTAGGCATACTTTAGGCCAGGGTATGTATATTGGGTTTTAAGTCTGTTCATATCCTCTGTGATCATGGAAAAGTGAGGCCTAGTTTTAAGTGCTGTATTTTCATGGTAATAAACAAGAATGAAGTTCTCATGGTTACTGGGAGACTTGGCTGTTTTTTCATTTCATTCATTCATTCATTCACTCATTCATTCGTTCAGCAACAGGTGAAGCTATCCCAAAGTGCTCATGGGCTAATAGGGGCTAACATGAAAACATGTAACTATGGGAAAATAATAGTGGCATTATGGGCTGGGCGCAGTGGCTCACACCTGTAATCCCAGCACTGTGGGAGGCTGAGGCGGTTGGATCATTTGAGGTCAGGAGTTCGAGACCAGCTTGGCCAACGTGACAAAACCCCATCTCTACTTAAAATATAAAAAATTAGCTGTGCGTGGTGGCGGGTGCCTGTAATTCTAGCTACTCAGGAGACTGAGGCAGGAGAATCGCTTGAACCTGGGAGGTGGAGGTTGCAATGAACTAAGATCGAGCCACTGCACTCCAGCCTGGGCAAAAGAGTGAGACCCTGTCTTTAAAAAAATAGTGGCATTATAAGGTTCCTGGGTGCCTAGGGGCCCGAGGAAGGAGGAGGGGCTGCCCCCAGCTGGAGGGAGGAGCAGGGAACGAAGGCTAGACAGTGAGTAGGAGTGTATTCATGGACAGGGCCAAACAATGGGAGCAGTTTGCCAGGTGGCCAAGGAAGCAGGTATTCCTGTTGATGAAGGTGACCAGCGGAAGCTCTGGGGCCTGACTTAGTGTGGGGGATAAAGAGGAGCCCAGGTGAGGCTGGAGAAGCGGTCTCCTTAGATGCCGTTCCACAGAGAGCCACTGGAAGCTTTCAGGTGGACGGTGCAGTGGCCAGAACTGCACTTTAGAATAGTTCCTTTGGTGGGTGCATGAGGATTGGACAGAGACAGCAGGCACTTCGCTTAGCAGTAGGCAGAACTGGAGGGGGAATTGGATGCTGGAGAGAGTAGCAGAATCAAGAGGTAGAGGGGGCATGTCAGCAGGACATGGTGACCCACTGGACAGTGGGGAGCAGAGAGATGGTGAGGTCACTGGGTCTCTGGTTGCTCCACCAGTGGGAGGAGGGCTGGGCCTTCTGGGGTCAGGGACAGTTCAGTTGGAGGTGCCTTAGAGACGCCGGTCCGATCGTCTGGCAGACAGCTGGATCAAAGGAGAGGTCTGGGAGGTGCCAGAAGGGTTGAGGCTCCAGAGAGAGGGCCTGTGGAGTGAGGGAGGCACTAGGGTGGCAGCTGGGTCTCACTGTCCCTGTGGTCTCTGAACTGAGCCCCATTGAAACTGGAGGAGCCCCCAGCCTTGAATTCAGAAGGCAGACTCCTTCCTAGAGATCCAGGCAGGCCTTGCAAATTTTGTTTTGTTTTGTTTTGGCCAAGTTACATAAACAGAGTAGGGGACCTTCAGATCATTTTGACTTTTGGCGGGAGGAGGCTCAGCAGGCCAAGGGAATCCAGCGCTGCAGTGAGAGGCTGGGGAGGGGAAGCCCTTCGGTTATCTTGGGACAGTCACTCCTTGGGGGCCTGAGACCTGACTAGCTCTTCATATCTGGTTCTCTCGCCCAGGTGGGAGACAGTGTTGGCTGATAGGAGGGAGCTGACAGGCCTCTGGATCGGATCCGAGGCAGGGACTGCCCTCCCCTGCATGGGCCCTCCTCTTCTGTAGGGTGGGCTGAGGCTTGGGCCATGGGCCAATAGGGCAAGCGAGGAAGGTCAGGGAGTGTAGTGAGCTGGAAGCCGGATTGGGAAATGAAACACAGAGGGGTTTTTTCCTCATCTGGAAGTATCCCCCCTCCCAGGAATCTTAGTCTGCTTCGTATTTTCCTATTTCTCATAAAGAACACGGGCACTGAGAAACATTTCCCAATCAGTGCTGGGGGCGGCGGGGTGTGGGGGCACGGTCGGCACCTGAAAAGGGGCAGCGCCGCCTCAGCCCATCGCTGCCATGAGGGAATGCAGGGCCAGTGTCACCGGACAGTTAGTTTCAAGAGAATCTAGGAATCCAGATTTAATGGGAAATCTCCCAATTGGCTTGAGTTTTTAAATAAACACTGCAGGCCAAATGAAGTCTGTGGCCTGGACAAGGCCTGTGGGCTGTGGTTGGCGTTCTCTGGGCTAGCCCGGCCTCTCTGACGTCCGTCCTTTCTGGCCACGGCAGACTGCAAGTTATCACTCAGAGGAGGAGAGGACACTAGACAGGAGCACACAGAGCCTGTTCCAGATTCTTCTCTGACATGAGCCTGAGTGGCCTGGGCCAAGCTGTGTCCCTTCCCTGGAGTCTGCCTTCCTTATCAGCACAGTAAAGGCCAGGGCTGGATCTGTGGGTTTGAACCTTTTATTCCTTAGCAGCAGAACTTTGTTTCATTTAAATCTTACAAGGGACAAATCACAGTGTATGAAATAGATTGAAAATCAGAGCTGCTCCTGTCGCCAGGGGAGTCTGGAATTCTGCTCCAAGGCTGCCTCTGCCCTCCCCCACAGAGGCACCTCTGCCAGGCTCCGCAGAACACAGTGTGGGACTACGCACCTGCTGGCGGGCCCTCTGTACCCCTCCCAGCCCTGGCATTCTGTGGGTTGAATGGGAGGACAAAAATGGCAGCCAGAGGAGGGCAAGCCACAGCGAGTCTGCCCCACAGCCAGCTCCTCGCCCACATTTTGTCCAGTCCCTGACACGGGATGATCGGCCAGCCACTGGATGCAGCTGGCACTTCCTGGGTGCTTTCCACGTAGTTCTGCCTCCTCACGTCAGTCCTGTAAGGCGGGCGTGGCTATTTCCATTTCACAGGTGAGTAAACCAAGAAACAGAAAGGCGAAGTGAGTTTCCCACAAAGTCAGTTGGCTGGAAAGGGAAGGATCCCAGGTTCTGCCTGGGCGTCTGAGACCCCACAAGCTGCCCCCTCCCCGTGGGGCCTCCTTTATTCTTCACTGAGAGCCACGATGCTTCCGGGGCAGTCCCATATACATGTGGGTGCTAGGTCCCAGGAATGACGATTTCCATCTCTTGTGTTTCTGTGGCATGCTTCTTTGCTTTCAGATGTGATCTCCTTTTGCTGGCATCAGGCTTGATCCATCTAAGCAGGACTCTCCTTTTTATCACCTCACAGGAGGCCGAACCGTCTGAGCCCAGAAGTGCTGAGGTGACGAGGAAGCCCAAGGCTGCTGTTCCTTCTGTGAACAAGAGGCCCAAGAAAGAGACTAAGAAGAAGCGGTAGAAGAGGAGGCCCGAGGAGCTGGGCAGGCAGGGAGAGGGTCTTGGGGACAGCCCTCCTGGGAATCTACATCCTGTTCCCCCCCATCCCAGGCTCAGGGTCTGAGGAGGCTGTGACGCCCTCGGACCACAGAGATCTAGACAGTCATGACAGTCCCTAGGCTCCAGCTCGGCAATCCATCACTTTCTCTTCCTTCTGCTTCTGTGACGGTTTATAGTCAAGGGGACTGAAACTGTGAGCATAGACTGTATTAGGTTTGTTCAGAAGCCAGTTCAGCTCACAGAGTCACATTTTCTTAATTAGTCATGTGTCCATCCTTGAGTCGCCCCCTCCTTGTGGGTTTACACTACATTTTGGAGTCATTATCTAATGCTGACAAGCACACCCTCTCCCATTATTTGTGTACTGCAAATCTCCTGCTAATCAGTCACTTTTGTTGCTGCTGTGTAGACAGAGCCAGACCTCACCTGTTTGTTTAGGCCAAGATGCCATGGCCATGCAATGTTAGTGATCCCACTAGCTGCGACAGCCAGGCCCAGAAAATGCCTGGCGTGAGAGCCAGCAGACGGCCAGGACAGGGTAGGCAGTGCCTGCTTCTGCTCCATCAGGTGCAGGGTATTTGGCTGAAGGTGTGCATATTTCCTGGGCACAAACTTCCTGAGCCTCTGAAATGGGAGGCTCATCAATTTCAGACCAACCTCTTTTCAACCCATCATAGCACATTCAAGGTGTGCCTTTTACTTCTACTTGTACATCCCCCATCCCTTCAGTTCTTTCATTCCCTGACCAGTGAGCGAGTTCCTGGGGGAAGTGTGAATAAAGTGACATGCAAGCTTCAGAACCTGCCTGTGTTGTCTTTTGCTGAGGGAGAGCGGAAGCCTAGGGCCCTGCCCTGGGGATGAGGGAAAGGCTTGCCCCCGAGAGAAGTGGGACAGTGGGGGCGAAGCTGGCCATAATGGGGTGGCTTTGGCAAGAGCAGCTCTGCAGGCTGAGCCATTCTGGAAGAAGTTTTCAGGAAGGGTCCAGCTAAGTGCTTCGTCTTTAGTCACTGGAGTTTAGTCACTTTAGTGCCTTTAGTCACTGGAAACACTTGTGAATGGCCATGGGTGTGTGAGAGTTTCCACTGGGTCCAGGCCCTGCTCACTCCCCACGTTCCTTCTGAGGAAGATGCTGCTTGTCGTCAAAGCGGCTTGAGGAAAACCAAGTGCAATACGGTAAAAGGCTTTATGTGGCATTGGCCGGGTGTAGTCACTTGCCCTGAATCAGCTGCTGAGGAAAAGCCCTGGCTCCTTGGTAACTCAGATTTGCCCAGCTCGTTTACAGCCCGCTGGACAACTTTCCCAAATGTCAGGACTGATGAGGATCTTAAGGGATGAGCGACTATCATCTCCGTTTTGGAGATGGGGAACTGAAGTCCGGACTACTTGAGAATGTCCGAGCCGGGATTTGGACCCAGCCCACGGCACATTCCTTGGTATTTAACAGGTATTTAGCAAGTGCTGTGAGGGCCCTGCTCTGCTGCAGAGGGGCTTGGCGAGATCTGCCAGCACTTGAGGTTTCAGGAGACGAAGTCCAGGGGCTGGAGCTTGTGCATAATGAAGGGCCAGTCTTGGCTAGATACTGGCGTGAGGAGGAGCTTCTGCGGAGTGTTTCTGTTTCGCAACACTTTAATGAGAGTTTCAATGCCAGGCCCCATGCTAGGAACTGAGGATGCAGAAATAAGGAACCTTCCCAGAAACCCAGAGTGCACCTGGCCAAGTGGGAGACTCAGACATGTAAGCAGGTTTGATGTGGGGAGTTTCTCCAACAGAGGAGCTGTTTCTCCAACAGTGTTCCCAGGGGCACCCAGCTCAATCTCGAGGGGTTAGGTGCAGCCATCTGGCAGAGTGGAAGTGATGGAGCTGAGTCTTAAAGGCTCAGCAGGACTTGAGACCACAGGGAAATGAGGCTGGGAGAGCAGGGGCCAGAGCTGTAGTGCAGACCTGTTTCAGCTTGTGGGGGAGAGACAGCTTCTGGCTCTGGGGAGCAGTGCCACCTCAATAGATCCTCTCCCTTAAAGGCTGGGCCAGAGAATAGCCCTCAGAAAGCAAGGGCTGTCATCCTCTGTTCCACCAAACCCTTCTTCCACGTGTACTGTGGTCAGAGTTTGTGGCATTTGGTTCTCTTGGTTTTCAGGACCCATCCTTTCTGGATTTCCCTCCTACATTACTAGTTCCTGTTCATGAGAGGGGCCCAGGCTTCGGTCCTTAGTCCTCTATCGTCTGTTATACAGAAGCTCCAGTCCCTAGACTTCCTCTCTGCACGCACTCCTTTGAAGATCTCATCTAGGCTCGAGGCTTTAAATACCACCCATATTAGGATTTTCCAGAGAAACATGGAAAGAGACTTTAAAAGTTTGGTTTTTTGAGATGGAGTCTTGCTCTGTCGCCCAGGTTGGAGTGCAGTGGCGCGATCTCAGCTCACTGCAGCCTCTGTCTCCCAGGTTCAGGCGATTCTCCTGCCTCAGCCTCCCGAGTAGCTGGGATTACAGGCACGTGCCACCACGCCCAGCTAATTTTTGTATTTTTAGTAGAGGTGGGGTTTGGCCATGTTGGCCAGGCTGGTCTCAAACTCCTGGCCACAAGTGATCCACCTGCCTCAGCCTCCCAGAGTGCTGGGATTACAGACGTGAGCCACCGTACCCAGTGAGATTTCTTATAAGATATTGTCTTCAGTGATTATGGAGGCTGAGAAGTCCCACAGTCTGCTGCCTGCAAGCTGGAAACCCAAGAAAGCCAGTAAAGGGCCGATGGTGTAGATTCTGTCTGAGTCTGAAGGCTGAGAACCTGGAGTGCTGTGAGCAGAAGACAGACGTCCCAGCTCATGCAGTCAGACAGCGGGAGGGCGAGTCCAACCTTCCTCCATCTTTTTGTTCTGTTCAGGCCCTTAAATGGATGAGGCCCACCCGCTTTACTTACTCCACAGATTCAAATGCTAATCTCTTCCGGAACACAGACACACCCAGAAATACTATTTAATCAGATATCTCCATGTCCTGTGGCCTAGTCAAGCTGACATGTAAAATTAACCATCACACCGCTCACACGCTGAAGTCTCCCCGACGGATCTCTCCAGCCCCTCTCTTGAGCTCCAGACTCACGAATCTGACTTCCTACTCGCTATCTCCTTTTGAATACACAGCAGGCATCTCAAAGCACATTCCTGATCTCACCAGCAGCCCCAGGCCTGCTCTTTCTGTGGTCTTTCCTATCTTAAAGAGCATCTTAAAAAAACAAAGTATATATTTAAAGTGTACAACTTGCTGATTTGATATATGTATATGTTGTGAAATAATCACCACAATCAAGCGAATTAAAATACCCATCACCTCACATCGTTATGTGTGTGTGTGTGTGTGTGTGTCGGGCGGTGGGGGGTGGGGTGAGAACACTTAACGATCTTAGAAAATTTCAGGTATATACAGTTGACCCTTGAGCAACATGGGTTTGCACTGTGTGGTCCATTTATATGCAGCTTTTTTTCAGTAAATAAAATTCCTTCATAGTCACATCCACATCTACAACCAAAAGCAGATCAAAAATAGTGTTTGTGGGATGTGAAATTCACGTATATGGAGGGCTAACTTCTCCTAGAGGCGGGTTTCACAGGGCCCACCTCGAGACTTGAATATGTGTGGGTTTTGATGTCTGTGGGAGTCCTGAAACAAATCCCAGGCAGATACCCAGGGATGACTGTAGTACAGTATCATTGTCTATAGTCACCATGCTATACATTAGATCTCCAACACTCTTTTATCTGGCATAACTGAAACTTTGTGCCCCTTAACCAGCAGCTCCCCATCACCCACTACTCCTAGCCCTTAACAACCTCCATTCTACTCTCTGATTCTATAGGTTTGACTATTTTAGATTCTACATATAAATGAGATCATGCAATATTTCTCTCTGTGTGTCTGGCTTATTTCACAGGTCCATTTGTGTTGTTGCAAATGGCAGAATTTCCCTTTTTTTTTTTTTTTTTTTGAGACGGAGTCTCGCTTTGTCACCCAGACTGGAGTGCAGTAGTGCGATCTTGGCTCACTGCAACCTTTACCTCCTGGGTTCAAGTGATTCTCCTGCCTCAGCCTTCTGAGTAGCTGGGACTACAGGCATGCGCTACCATGCCTGGCTAATTTTTGTATTTTTAGTAGAGACGGGGTTTCATCATGTTGGCCAGGCTGGTCTTGAACTCCTGACCTCGTGACCTGCCCACCTCAGCCTCTGGGGTTATAGGTGTAAGCCACTGTGCCTGGCCTGGATTTCCTTTTTTTTTTTTTTTTTTGAGATAGAGCCTTGCTCTGTCACCCAGGCTGGAGTGCAGTGGTCCAATCTTGGTTCACTGTAAGCTCTGCTTCCCAGGTTCATGCCATTCTTCTGCCTCAGCCTCCCAATTAGCTGGGACTACAGGCGTCCACCACCACGCCCGGCTAATTTTTTGTATTTTTAGTAGAGACAGGGTTTCACCCTGTTAGCTAAGATGGTCTTGATCTCCTGACCTCGAGATCCATCCGCCTCGGCCTCCCAAAGTGCTGGGATTACAGGCGTGAGCAACCACGCCCGGCCTCCTTTTTTTTTTTTTTTTTTAAGGCTTAATAATATTCCATTGTATGTATACACAACATTTCCTTTATCCATTCATCAGTTGATGAAATTTAGGTTGTTTCTGTATCTTATCTATTATGAATAATGCTGCAATAAACATAGGAATGTAGCATTTCTTTGAGATACTGATTTAATTTCCTTTGGATAAATACCCAGAAGTGGGATTATTGGATCATTTGGTAGTTCTTTTTTTTTTTTTTTTTTTTTTTTTTTTTTTTTATCTTTTGAGGCGCCTCTATACTGTTTTCTATAATGGCTATACCAATTTACATTCCCATCAGTAGAGTACCAGGGTTCCAGTTTCTTCACATCTTTGCCAACAGTTACCTTTTGTCTTTAAAATAATAGCCCCTCTAATAGGTGTGAGGTGATATCTCTTGGTTTTGATTTGCATTATTTAGTGATGTTGATAACCTTTCCATAGAACCTGTTGGCCATTAGTATGTCTTCTTTGGAAAACTGTCTATTTAGGTCCTTTGACCATTTAAAAAATTGGGTTCATTGGGTTGTTATTTTGCTATGGAGTTGTATGAGTTTCTTTCTTTTTTTTTTTTTTTTGAGACGGAGTCTTGCTCTGTTGCCCAGGCTGGAGTGCAGTGGCCAGATGTCAGCTCACTGCAAGCTCCGCCTCCCGAGTTTATGCCATTCTCCTGCCTCAGCCTCCCAAGTAGCTGGGACTACAGGCGCCTGCCACCTCGCCCAGCTAGTTTTTTGTATTTTTTAGTAGAGATGGGGTTTCACCGTGTTAGCCAGGATGGTCTTGATCTCCTGACCTCGTGATCTGCCTGTCTTGGCCTCCCAAAGTGCTGGGATTACAGGCTTGAGCCACCGCGCCCGGCCCTGTATGAGTTTCTTGTATATTTTGGACATTAATGCCCTATCAAATACATGATTTGCAAACATTTCCTTCCATTCTGTAGATTGTCTTTTCATTTTGTTGATTATTTCCTCTGCTGTGTGGAAACTTTTTAGTTTGATGCAGTCCTTTTTTTTTTATTTTTGTATTTGTTGCCTGTGCTTTAGTTGCCATATCCAAAAAATTGTTGCCAAGGCCAATGTCAGAATGCTTTTTCCCAACTGGGTGTGGTGGCTCACACTTATAATCCCAGCACTTTGGGAGGCCTAGCTGGGAAGACATTTGGGGCCAGGAGTTTGAGACCAGCCTGGGCAACATAGAACTTAGTGAGACACCATCTCTGCA